CACAATGAGGGGCGGGCCCACAGGCAGGTGTTGGTGAAGGGTGTGGAGGAAGTGCACTCTATCTAGCGGGTCATTGGGACCATACACGCTAACAATGATGATTTACTCCTCCCCCATCGTAGCCCTGACGTACACCCAATGGCCCTCTTGCAGGTTGCACTCTTGGTGGGTGATGGGGGTGAGTCTAGACGAGGGAGGGAACCATATCGCTACCCCCATGAATGCTCCTGATATAGCCGGGACCGAGAATGATATGTACGACCACACCCATTTTCGCTTGCTCTGTATGCGGGCAAATGTGTTAGATGTGTCTCTTGCGCGCAGATTACATCAGGCCATGCTGTCGCCCCGTCCAGTTTGAGCATTCTCCATATTGCGTCCTTTTTGCCCTGCGATGTTTGCCCCCGACCGTTGAGGTTGACAACTTTGATGTCCAGGTCGGCCTGAGCGACCTTTCTTTCCCAGTCTTGGGGGCGCCTCCCGAGTGGAGGAACGCACGGTTGAGGGGAAGAGGCCCTAGGTGGAGGGGGAGGAGGTGGATGGCATATAGCACAATCCATGGTGATATTCATTATTCAGGTTCGGTATTTTGTTATAGAGACGACGCCCCCTCCTTAGTTGGAGATCACCCTTTGCAGGGGTCTCAGCTCGCCTGCCTCTTACCTTTCTGAGTCCGTACTGTCTTCCGATTGACTCCCCTGTTGTTCATTATTTGAGTCATCGCCCGTTAGCCGTCCTATCATTTGAGCAGCGACAGGTGGCAGTTCAGCCACTCCCGGTGGCCCTGTGATGACAGGGCACAGCAAGTCTGGGGGAATTCTGTGGATGATAGGGGACAGGGTATGTGCCAGTTGTCTGCCACTGCTGGTTGTGAGGATGGCTGCCCCAATTTCCTCCACGAGCACCTCGGGCCAAAACTGCTTGTCCTCCGTGCGCAGTCCCTTTCTTCTATCACAGTCCCCCATTGTAATGATTTTAGGAGACTGTGTAGCCTGCACTTTTCCAGCTAAGTTCCTCCAACACCGCTGTCAAAGTTGCAATGATCACTCTGGCAATGTGTTCCCAATCGATTTCATCTGGTGCATGGTACTCATTCACTACATGTTTGATTTTTTGTTTTGCCTGGATCCTTCTTCTAATCTTCTCCCAGTGCAGCCAAGGGATGAACTCGTTCAGCATCCTACCCGTGGGTACTGGCGAATTTTGTAGTACCCAGTCCGTTAGGAGCTTGAGACGTGCGCGCACACTCTTCATCCGTATGAGTGGAGCACTGTTTTGGTTGTCCTTGGACTGAGCTTGTGACTGTGATTCGGGCTGTTGTGTGTGATGGTTGTCTTCTTCTTTCTGGACTGGGACCATAATAAGGTCCAACGCTGGGTGCATGCCCTCCGAGACCGTTGTCTGTTGAAGATCTGTGTGGCTCCCATCTCCTCCTTGTAGGGTGTCATTTTGTATGTCTTGCCGCATCACGTGGTCCAGTTCCGGGTGGGTTCCTTCTGGAGGGTGCATCATTTGTGCATTTTGTTGAGTGGGCATGCCGTAGCGGAGCGAGTGGTGAATGACATATTCTTGTTGTTGAGGCTGATGCTGTAGAGGGTAAGTGCCAAGAGTAGTCAACTGTTGTGTTTGCCAAAATTGTTTTTCCAGAAGTTCTTGATGTTGGTCTAACGTATTAAGCAGCCCGAATGCCTGACTTTGTGTGTGGAAGCTGTGTTGAGCCTCCAGCTGCTGCTGCAAGAGGTGGGCTTGCAGACACTTATCTTGTTGTTCTTGTATGTTTTGCGCTTGTTGTATTGCTAGGTAGTGGAACAAGGCCTGTGGCTTTGATGTTAGAGCAGCACGCAAGGGTATATGTTCCTGACCGTCTGCTTCCAACTCCCTGTCTGACATATCCATCTCTGAGTTCTGCCCAGATTCCGAGTCTGAGTCTGTCTCGGAGATGTCCTTGATGGGGGTGTCCATTTCTGGGCGGCTTCGTCTGGCGGCTCTTCCCCTTGCTATCGCCTCCTATAGCTCCTCTTTGGCTTGTTCTTGTTCTTTCAGTAGCAACTGATACTCCTGTGTTCCATATGTCATGTGATTCCCTTTAACCTGGCTTCCTGGTGTACTGCACCCCCGACATTGTTCCTCTCTCTTCTGTTGAGGGGGAAGGGGCACCTGTGGGGCCAGGACCCCTCCCTCCCTGGTGATCGGGGGGAGGTTTTCAGGTTTATCCTTCGTTGGTGTTCTTGCTAGCACGGGGCCCGGGTGCTGATTGTCATGCTCCTTTCCTTGGGAGGTAGTGCCACATGCCTGGCCATGTTGATGTTTGTCCCTGCTCGCCTCACTGGGGAGCGCATCGATGACACTTGTCTGAATCTGTAATGTGGGTATGGGGCGGGCCATCGTTCGCTGTACAGTGTCGTGCTTTCTGGGCCTTGGTAGGTGGTGACTATCTCCACTCGGTTAGGCAGCGGGTTCTTTTCAGCAGGGAGCATATTCTTCAGACCCTGTGCAATGTTGTGCAGGTAGTCAAAGCGGAACAGTTTATTCATGCTTTTTGATTGACCCCTGTTGTTTTTGATAAGGTTTTGACAGCTGGAGTGTGGCATTCTGAGCCACACGGACCCCAGTTAGGGCCCGGTTCCAGATAGAGAGGGTAAGCCTAAGGGGACGACGGTTCAGATAAGGCCCAGGTAGGCCAGGGGTACGCCGGTTCAGGCAGGCCAGGGATAGAGGCCCAGGCCAACGGCCACAAGGCCGGTACCGGTCCAGCATAGGACCTACCGGCGGCGCAGTTTCAGAGGCTGCCGAGTTTAGGCGCCAACTCCAGTTCGAAACTGGACCGTTGATTCAGATCAACGGTCCGGGCTGGTAGGTACCAGCAGGTAGGAGGCCGGCCCAGCACTACAAAAGGCTGGGTACCAGCCTCAGTAGGAGGTTAGTATGGACCGAAGGTTAGTCTTCAGGATTAGTGCAGCCTTTCAACGTTAACACGATTAGCGCAGCACTGCAACATAGCGGGGAGCAGCGAGGAGAGCAGGAGCTCAGCGGCCGAGAGGATTAGCGCAGCATTGGGCGCAGCGCCAGCTACCGGCCCAGCCCCCTTGCCGCGCCATAGCTACCGTGCCAGGTACCAGGGAGGAAGGCTTCGCCTTCTCTCCCTCATCTTCCTCCACC